ATCGGTATCCCACCAAACAGCTGCCCAGTCATGGGAACTGTCCGGGTCCTCAAACCCAGGGAGGTTTCTGGAATTACATAGCCAGTGGATCCTGGTGTCAACTAGTGTCACACCGGGTCCTGAGTGGGATCCTGGAACTGGAAACAACATTGGCTGAAAGGGAAGGAAATCTGAGTAAATGCAGATTTTAGTCAGTGATGCGTCAGCACCAGTGCACTCCCTGTGACACAGGCGTCGGCACCCGTGCGCTGACTGTGACGCAGGTGTCAGCCATGATGTGACGTGTGATCTCAGGGAGACGAGGTGTGAGACTCTCTGCTTTCTTCCCAAGTCCTCTGTGCATCTACAGCTATTCTAGAAAAGACATTTATTTAAAATTTTAACAACCTGAAAATAACAAAAATTAAGCTTTCCTCTCTGGCCCTACTTTCTGCTGTGACTGTCATATTTTCTTAGCTCACATTTTCCTGTCCTTGTTTTTTCAGCTTCCCTGGTTTTTGTTTTGTGTTGTGTTAATTATAAAGTTAGGTTTTTTTATTTCAATATGAGAACACCCACTTAAAATCCTTTTTATCCTCACCCAAGGGCATCCCCCCCCCATTGCTTTTTGAAATAGAGGAAGGGAAAGAGAAACACATCAATTGGTCGCCTCCCTTACTCACCCAGATCTGGGATTAAACCTACAACAGAGCTGGGTATGTCCCCTGACTGGGAATCAAGCCCACTGCCTTTCAGTTACAGGACAACACTCCAGCCAACTGAGCCACACCAGCCAGGGCAAGAATATTCACTTTTTAATGGATTCATTTATGAAGCCATTAATACTTATTGTAATTACTAGTAGTATGTCTTATTTTTACCACCATGCTTTATTTCTTCATTTATGATATTTTTAAATTCCTTTCATCCTCATTTCTTTCTTGTGTTCTTGGAATAGATTTTGGAGATTATTTTGGTTTTTGTTTGTTTGTTGGTTTAATAAGGTATACAATACTTTGTGATTGATTTTAAGATTCATTTTTAACTACCTCTTTTCATTTACAGAATTTACTAATATTCACATCCTCTCAACAAGGCAAACATGTTAGCACAATCCGTGTCCTTTGAGAATTCCAGCCTGTCCCCTAGTGTGTTGACATTTTTGAGAATTTTAGTTCCAGGTAATCGCAGACACTTTCTCTTCAGCAGTTTGATGCTCTTGCCTTTTTTTTTTTTTTTTTTTTTTTTTTTTTTAGCAGTAACTTTAGTCTCCTTGCTTCATCTCTCACACCAGCTCCTGGAATTTCTCGGTTGTGAGGACCCTCCTGCAGGTCTCTGTCCAGCAAGGATTATGCAGCCTCTTTTGCTTAAAAATGTTTCCATGGCACCTTCACATTTGCATGAAGATTTGCTGGATGTTAGGTCGCAGGTACAAAGCTCCTTTTCTTTGATACTTTAAAATCTCCCTCCACCGTTTCTATGTGTCCAGTGGGGCTGAAAAGTCTTATGTCACCATGACTCTTACTCCTTTTGGGGGTGACCTGTGTCTTTGGCTGACACTTTTCCAGTCTTCCCTCTTTTTTCTGGCATTCTTACATTTTGCATGATTGTGAGCTGGTGTGGCTTTCCTCACTGGCTCGCATTCTGAAATTATGTATAGCCTGTCGGGATGCTGCCAGTAGGGGTCGCACAGGCCGGACCCCAGCGCAGCCTCCAGGTGGGCGGAGTCCCCACGGGACGGGAGCCGGGCGTGGCTGGGGCTCAGGAGCCTCCCTCCCCCGTGGCCTTCCCGAGGCATTGCATGCTCTGCCTGCCGCGCTTCAGCCGGGTGGACTCTCGGGCAGGAGAGCTTTGAGAGCGGCCCCCACGCCGGAATGGCTCTTCTCCCCCAGCCAACTCTCCTTGTAGTCGAGTCCCAGTGTAACGTCACGAGCAGCACACCCGCCTCGACCCCGCTCCCCCTGCGCCGCCCGGGACCCGCCCACCGGTGCGACTTTTCTTTCCGAAGGTGCAGGCGGAGCCTGTGCTCCTGGGAAGGAAGAGGTAACGCAGCCTCGCAGCCCAGAGACGCCCGGGGCGCGGCCCTGCGTGCTGAGGCCTGGCCCTTCCCGTGCGCCGGGCGGCAGGTCACGGAGCAGCGCACCCCCGCCTCCGCGGCCCCGGCTGAGGCGCCACCGGTTCTTTGCAGTGGCCTGTGGTGGCCTAGAAATGCTCGTGAGTCATCAGCGCCAGGCAAGCTCCAGCGACGGCGAGCGCCGCGGCCGAGCTTCCCCGCGCTCAGACTTACGCCATAAGGAATGAGTAATACTCGTTTCCATCCTCGCCAAGTTTCGCCAGGTCGTGGCTCCCGGCACCCCAGCTCCGGCGCTTGGCCGTGCGGACCGGGACGCGCAGGTTTCCCCGGTGAAGTCTCGCAGAGCTAAACGTAGTGAAGGGGTTTGGTTTCTCTGCCAAGGTTTGGCCAACGCCCACGGAGCCACGTGCGGTGCTACACGGTGTATTGATTTCATCTGCACTATTCCTTCCCAGTTTGATGAAAGGTTGGAAGTTTGTTTGGGGGACTAGCAGTTAAAAATAAAGAATTGAAGCATTTATTACCGTTCTCTTCCAAAACAGCACTACAATGAGAATTCTGACAGCAGCAGGTGCTTGTCCGCCCTTTCCACACTCCGGGACTGTCCTGCGTGTCCCACGGGCCGCTCATTTAATCCCCTCAGTACCCAGCTCGCAGAGGGGACGTGTGCTCAAGGCCCAGTCTGACGCCCACCAGGGGGCGAGCAAACCCGGAGCTCTCTGGCGGGCTGCCAGGCTGGGCCTCTGAGAGCAGGGCTGGCGATGCCCGACTCCCGGGGCCGCCAGAGAGAGCCGGCAGTGGTCTCCGGGCACCTGAGTTCGCGTGGGGCAGCCACCCGCACCGCACCGCTGGCGGCGGGGCTGTCTCTCCAGCCAGGACCCGCAAGGCGGGAGAAGGGCGCGTCCCGCTCTGGGGTGTCGGCAGGGATGGCTGTCCAGAGGGCTGGTATGTCTAGGTTTTGTCCTCGGCCTCTCTTGTCTGCCGAGGTCTGTGAGGAGGTGGCCTCTGCCCTTGCCTGCGGGGAGGGGCTGCAAGGGCACCGCGCACCCTCCCAACCAAACCACCCCCGGGACTGGCCGCACGGTCTCCACTTTCCTGCCCAGTCCCTCGGGAACTCACTCAAGTGGGCGTCCACCGCACAGCCCACGGGCTGTTGTCCGGCAGCCAGTGGCTTCCTGGTTGGCTGATGGGCATCTCTGTGCGCACCCCACCCCCACCCCAGCGCCCAGTCCCTCCTGCTCCTTGCCGGTCCCTCGAGGTCTCACTGTCTGCAAGGGCTCCGCTGACCCCGGGCCTTGGCTTGTCCTTCCATTGCTCTCTCTCGAGGCCCCTCCAATCCCAGGCCCCCTTCTTAGATGGACACCAGCACCCCAAAGCCCAGGTCCTTAACGAGGTTCTGATTCCTCCCGAACTCCTGTGAGCTCCCCCTGCGTGCAGTCCCTCTGTTAGTCACGCACCCCTGATGGCTCAGGCCTGGGTGCCCCTCACCTCCTCTCTGACCTCACTCCATACTCAGGGGTCCCCAAGTCCCACAGCCCCGCCTCCCTGCCCCTCACCACCCCCTCCAACTTCCTTGGGTGCTCGTGCTGGGCTCCCGGTGTCTCCGCACAGGGACCCCCCTCCCACTCCGATCCAGTCCCGCCATTGCCCGCTTAGAACAGAACGGGCGCGGGACCCCGGCTCTCGGAGCCCACACCGGAGCCCGAGCCCCTGCCCACGCCCACCCACCGGCCCAGCACCCAACATGCTTAATTCAGGCCCAACAGCCCCAGGGACCGCTCCCCAGTGGCCTCAGCATCCGCGTGGGCACCGGCCACCTGAAGGCCTCTCTGGTCCTCTCCGCTGGTGCTCCGCTTGGTCTGACACCCTCACGAGGCCGCCTCCCACGTGGACAGCGACAGACGGCCTCTGCCTGGGCTCGGCATCTGGGCCACAGGGGCGGGCAGGCGGCCGGCATGCTGTCAGGACCTGGGAGCTGACGACGGAGGCGATGAAGGACACGGGGACCGCTGGCCGGCCTCTCCGGCGCCTGGCCGTCGCGGACCGCCTTGGGAAGCGGGGCGGGCGGGCTGGAACGTGGCCACGTCCCATCCCATTCCCAAGGGAGACTCAGAGGTAGACACCCCGGGACTCAACCGACAAAGGCCCCTGGTCCCCAGCCGTGCAGAGCCAGAGCTCCAGGTCATAGACATGTGGGTGCCCGCCGGGGGCCTCAGAGACACAGTCAGAGGGCACGTGGGCCCTTATTAAACCAAGTCAGGACAGAGTGGGACCAACGGCCAGAGTGTGAGAGGCCGGGGAGGCCAGAGAGGCACTGACCCGCGCAGAGGGCCAGCCAGGTAGACAGGCATTCCTGGCGGTCTGTGAGCCCTGGCCTTCTCTGCCCTGGGAGGAGGCCACGCTCAGGGACCCAGCTCCCATCTGACAGGGCAGCGTGGAGCCTCAGGCAGAGCTGTCCCCCAGCACTGTCCCCACCACTGCCTCCCGACCCTGGGCAGCAGGCCTCCTCCGGGAAGAGGCTCCGAGGGGAAGTGTCAGAACAGGCAGGAGCCGGGAACAGGCAGTCATGGGGGCACGGCAGGTCAGACCTTCTCTGACCCCGCTCTCCCGCCTCCCTTCACACACCTGAGCTGTGTCCATGGGACTCCCCAGGAACCCCCATGTCTGGAGAGACCGGGCATGGAGAGGATGGACCAGCTCTGGCCTCTGCAGGGGAGGAAGGAGCCCGCTCAGGCCCGGACACCCAGAGCCGGAGCTGGCCCTGCAGGCCTCACCCTCTGGCCCTCCCCAAGCCACACTCTCCATAGGCAGCACCCACACCCTGCCCCACGGGCCCAGACTCCATGCAGCCCCTCACACTCTATGAAGCCAGAGCAGCTCCCACCAACCCCCACCACCCCTCGCACAGCTCCCTGCCCTCTCCCGTCCACTTGCCAGGGTGGCTGACCTCCAGGTTCCGCACACCAGGACGGGGCCCTGCCTGCTCCCCAGTAGGGCTTCCTGCTGCCCACAGTGCTGCTGGTGGGGTGTGTCCGAGGCCGGACAAAGGGCAGGTTGTAGCCTCGGTGAAGTTCCTGCACACCTGAGGAAAGTTACCTTAGAAGTCAGCTGGCTGGAGAGCAGGTGGCTCCCAGTAGCCAGAGCCCAGGCAGCCGTGAGCTTGGGGGCGGGAGGGGTGAAAGGACAGTGGGTGCACGGGGTGAGGCTGCCACCTGCCCATGGGCCCCTGTGACCTTCCAGCCAAGCCCTGAACCTCTGCTGGAGGAAAAGGGCTCCCAGGGGACCCCTCTGCGCCCCAGCTCCCACCCTCCTGAGAGAGGTTGGTATAGACCCTCAGGGGTCAGGGACCTAGGCCTTGCCATTCGGATGTGCCAGCAGGCTCCACAGTACTCCATGCCACCTGAGAAGATGGGTGACCACCACCCAGTCACCATGCAAGGCATCCTCAGACAGCCATGGCAACATCCTACCCAGACGCTGCGGGAGCACCACCCCCGGGTCTGGTGGGGGCCCTGGGTTACCGGGGGAGGCTGGGTAAGAGACCTGCAGATGAACTTCAGTGCCCTGGCCTCTCTGTGCCACCAGGGTGCCACACTGCCTGGGCCGGGGCTGCTGCAGGCTCCACGTGGTCGGGGCCACAGCCAGGCTCCATGAGGCGGGGCCAGGCTCCACGCTCCTGGCCTAAGGCTGCAAGGGACACGCGGCCAGCAAAGCTGGGACCCCTCTGGCTCCCGCCGTTGTAGCCTTGGGGAGACCCTGGCACCAGAGCAGAGTTAGGGGCCTGGGGACACCTCTGGACCTGAGGTGCAGAAACAGGACATGGGCCCGCACACCCTGGGGTTGGGGATGTGTTAAGACAGCGGTCCCCAACCTTTTGGGCACCAGGGACTGATTTCATGGAAGACAATTCTTCCACAGGCTGGGCTTGGGGATGGTTTCGGGATGGTTCCAGTGCATTGCATTCCAGCTCACCTCCTGCTGCGCAGCCCTGTTCCTAACAGGCCCTGACAGGTACCAGTCCAAGGCCGGGAGGTTGGGGACCCGCAGGTTAAGTGAGGTATTCCAGAAGAGCACAGTCAGGGGCATGGGACCTCTGGGGCGGGGACTGTGAGATGGGAGGGAGGGCCCTCTGGGACAGTGGCCATGGTCCCCCACCCAGGAGCTCCGGAGAGCCCCCTGAGGAGGAGGCTCAGCCCCCTCTTACTCACATCCCCTCCTCCCACACCCTTCCCCAGAATGCAGCAAACAGCACGGTGAGACTCTGGATACAAAACTGTAAACATGAGTCTTTAAAAAGGCAAAGGCCTGCTTGGTCCCAAACTCTGAGCCAGAGGCCCACACCCAGGGGCCCCAAACGCCCAGACCTCACTGCCCTCTGTCCTTCCTTCCTCCTCAGGCCCCAGCAGTTGGGAAGGGCCCTTCCACTCACACACACCACCCTGTTCTGGGGCAGGTTAGGGAGTGGGGTTGAGATCAATGGCCTGAGGGGGGCCCTGAGATGAAGCAGCCACTGCAGGCGTGGCACTCAGGCACCTGGCCACAGGGGCAGGTGAGAGCCCGCCCCCACCCCATCCCACGTAAACTGTACGCCCCCACCAGCCAATGTCTGTGCCCATGGGCATCCCAGGACCGCGCGGGCCCTATCATGTGTCCAGGGCATCGTGCATGGGCAAGGGCCCATGGAGGGCGGCCCAGAGGCCATGCAGCAGCAGGGGTGCGGCACCGAGGTGCGCTGCGAGGGCGGCGGCTGCAGCTCCCGGGCGAGCATGGGCGGCAGGAAGTCTCGCGCCTGGCACTGGTACTGGAGGAAGGTGCAGGCCTTAGCAGCGAGTGCCACCACGTTCTCGCAGACAAAGATGGCCAGAGCCATGACTGTGGGGGAAGAGTGCCAAGTTGGGGGCGCGCCAGCACGGTCACCATGTTGAGGGTGGCGAGGCCGAGCTCTGGGTAGAGCATCATCTCCTGCAGCGCTATGGGCTCACCCCACATGCTGCCCTCGCTGAGCACCGGGAATGCACAGCAGCACCCAGCAACAGCATGTAGCAGTAGAAGAAGGGGAGGCCCTCGGCCCATAGCAGCAGCCCATCGTGCGGCGGCTCCCACAGGCTGGCCTGCATGTCCAGCAG